TAAATAGCCATAACAGGGTTCTCACTAGGACTTTAAAACATGGAGTCCATGGACTCCCAACCCTGAAAAAGTTGGAGTCCAAAAGCGCGTCGCAATTAATATGTTTACAGATTAGTCATTCAATGCTAACAATAGCATTGCTGATATATTGAATCTTCAAGAGACTTCCAAAATTTATAGTTATTCAAAAGAAACTCTGAACTACATAGTATAATTCTTGTTTTGTTGTTTTGATATTTATTATGAAATTATTTCATTATAATGCATCAACACATGGAAATCGTTTGTTTTTTTCCACTTTTATACCAAATCAAATTTTATTCTGGTTAAATAAGTCCACTCTAAAGACAAAAAGTTTATATTTGTAAAAAAAAACGTAAATGTATATAGGCAGCGTTTAGCGGAATGAATAGGAAAATCGTGTACAGCTTCAAACAGTGTGTAAGAGATTCATCCGATCGACAATTATTTTAGCAAATATCTTCAAAAGGGGGCAAATTGAAGATCGATATTTAAAGATTCAATGTTGATTAAATAATAAAGGAACAATTTATTCGCATGTTTGGCTTGGAAACCGATAATTTTTGCGAAATTTAAGGGTTTCTGGCGAACGTGAAATCGCCGATTTTCGGGATCAATTTTGGATAGAATCTAAATATTAAAGAAAAGCGTATGTGTATTTTGGTTTGTTGTCCTGGCATTTCGGCACAATATCTTAAATTATTAATAGCCTTATCGAAAGTTTTTGCAAGAATGAAACTTAAGCAAAATTGTGCCTAGAAAATGCCGAAAATATTCGACAATCATTCAAAATTACACTCATTTGTAATTTGAGAAAACAGTCTTTAAACTTGCGGCGTAAATAGTCGATAATTTTATCCTTTTGTCGGTAAAATTTGCTAATTTCCAATCAACTGTTGATCAAAGATATAAAATTATCACCTCGTGTTATATCTGGTAATTACATGTACTGTACAGCGCGTGTATACATTAGTCTGATCACTATTGCCTGATAATGATCGTAAGCGTTATCGCTGATTGGCTAATCGCTTCACGGGTCGATGTGCATAGGACCGCCTACCTATAGACTGACACGCGCTGACGCATTTGTGTATTTGTGGTTGTAAACAATCGGTAATGTTTATGCGTCCTCAGGCAAAATTAAGCGTACGTGGAATCCTTGCTCTGAAATATTTGTGTCCAGCTGTAATAAACATGCGTACCGGGACGCCAAAATAAGCGTCCCCGAGAACCCTGCATAACAACAATTTTCATTGCTGAGTGCGTTAGAATTTGATTGAAATAAGTATACAGATCATATAAGTATGCAAAGGAGTAAAAGCAATTTTTACCAGTAATTGAGTAAAACTGGTTATATTGATATAGACTAGTAAATAGAAAATTTTAGTAATGTGTTTAGGATTTTTACTATTTTTGTCTGTCAAAATGCAGGGCAAGTTCATTTTGTGAAGGGCAAGTGATTTTGTCGTTTTACTCGCCCTGCAGATTGAGTGAACCTAGAAAAATTATTCAATGGCTGAACAGATGTAAATGTGCTTACCCTTACAGTCCATTTGATGACCAAATTACTTTACATATTGTAATATTGAATGTTGATGTAATACATTTATCAAACACACTTACAATTAAGCAAAAGATATTTTTCTTATTAAGGCCCCCACGGTTACACGTTTAAACGGATTTGTTTCGATTTTCATTCGTAAACGGTTACAATATGTTTTACCGTTTAATCGAAATGACAATACTGTCTTACAAAGTATCTTAATCATTGCCTGTTATTTTCTAATTGGTTTATTCCAAAGATGGGTGTTTACAACACAGTATCACCATGCAATAACTGCAGGCTGTCAACCAATTCCTATATTCCTATAAAACTCCTATAATTTGGGTCGGAATCCTATATTTTAAAAAGCCTCCTATTTTTCCTATATTCTCCTATATTTTGAATATTTTTCCTATATTTTTTTAAAAATATATTGCCGAGGAATTCAAAGAGATTTAAATTTTGGTACTGCTTTTGGCCTGTTGTATTTTACAGGTAAGAGAATATCTATGCCTGCATCAGCATCACATTACTATGCTCAAGGCTGCTGTGCTCCTCATAGCCATCTGCATGGTCACCATGAAAAGCAGTGCATCAGTATGTCAACTTTATTTCAGGTGACCATTCAGATGATGGTCATGCATTGCTGTAACTTTCTGCCGGGATGCTGATGCTGTGGTTCAAAGCTAATGCAGGCTGTCCGCTGCGTCCCTAAAATTCCTAAAAAAATCCCAATTTTTTCAGTTTGGCTAAAATTCCTAAAAAAGTGAAAAATTCAAAGGGAATTCCTAAAGATGCCCTATTTTTTCACTGAAATTCCTCATTTTTTTATCTTTTGTTATAAACATACTTATAACTTGTAACCCTGTCAAAATAATCACTGACATAACTAAGTCGACCATGTTTTGAACATGGTCAAAAATGATTTGGCCATGATTTGCCAACTCAATTGATGACATTGAAATGGTTTCGTTTTAACTAAAAGTTATTTTGACTATGTCAGTAACATTGCTATTTCATAATCAAAGCAGTTGTTGATCATCATGTTGACAGCAAAAATACTACCATATCATGGTCCTTAAACTCAAATCATAACCATAAGAGTCCACTTATTCTGGAATATTTTGACACTTTTTTGCCAACTCCAGATATCTTGTATTTTATGTTTGTTCATTTTATCCAAATTTCTGAAGTGGTCCATTTATTTCATATCATATTTAAAAATGATCATTATGAAGCTGTTGTAACACAATCTTAATTAAAAACATGTATAAATAGTTGTCAAAAATGAATGTACAATTTGTTTACTCAAAACTCTTTTATTTAAATCTGCATTATATCAAAACAACATTGTAAAGTACTGAATGGGTTAATGTAGACTTTGAAAAAATTAATTCTTTCCCTCATACTTATTTATCCTTTTCGATGTCTTTGTAGGAGAAATTGCTTATTTTGCCACAAAGTTTTCAATTTCATTCAATTCTTGTTCTTTCATTCATATGGTACAATTTAGGAAAATGCAGACTCATATAATTAATCACACTCAAAAATAATTTGGCAGTTCAGTAATATAATGCTCATTTCCAATTACAATGTACACACATTTTGCAATTATGTGATCTAGATAAACTGCAATTGAATGGTCTGTGTGATGAACTTTTTTGATGTGCAATTCTTTGTGTTGATTATAGATGCTTCCCATTTATTCAAATGACTGTTCTAAGGCAAATGCCTTTTAACTTCCTGCTTGTACAAAAAATTTCATTTGTCCATATTCAAAAGCTGCATTGTGCAAGAATTTTACTGTATATTCCTTTTAGACACTTGTGGTAATAACATTCCCAAAACATAGGTAAAACATGTTCTTTTTGACATGTTCAGCCAATTTAGAAAAATATGGTTTGAACATGATTTGACTAAGACCATTTCCGCAGGGGAGGCAGTTGACCAGTGAGTCCACACTGGTAGCACCTTTGCTCTAACTAAACTAGAACATTATTTGTGAGTTACTTTTGTGTCAAATATGCAAAGATTAGCCCTGATCATGGTCCTTTGGGACCTTAGTTTATTTAGTTATAAAATTGCAAATTTTAGCCCTAAAATTTCTATTACGTACCCTAACATTCCTAATTTTAGCCCTAAAATTTCTGAAATATTACCCTAAAATTCACCCTAATTTTATGTCGGAAGGTGCTGGACAGCCTGCTAATGGTGTCCTTCACTTATACGGTAGACGTTTTTTGTAGAAACAGCATGTGTAAAAGTAAGAATTATTTACATTTATATAAGCATTGGTAAGTTAAACAATTTAAGTTGAAAACTCCTATTTTTTGCCTCTAAATGGTCCAAAAACTCCTATATTTCCTGCAAAAATATTCCTATATTCCTCCTTTATTTTGGATAAGACCTGGTTGACAGCCTGATAACTGCTCGTGACATAATGCATTTTTGGTAAAGTTGATTTTCCTTTGATCTTTCAAATAGCGAAATAGTAATGAGCCCTTAACATTATTTACTTGTACTTGTATTTAAAATAGAAAGTAAGTCATCTTTTGGCGACTCGAATACATGGTGTAGTATAGTACATAGAAGTACCACCGTTTAAACGGTATCGTTTCGGTTCTTAGCAATCGTGTAAACGTTTACAAAAAATTGTAACCGTAGGAGCCCTACTTCTTATGATGTTTTACATACATATGATCTGATCAGACAGAAAATAACCAAGCTAACATTTTATTGTGTAAACACCTATATCTTGATGACCTCATTAATTGGATAACACGAATCAATGAATAAGTGTCCAGCTGAGAAAGATGGTCATAATTGAATTGTTCAGGGGCTCTGCTCTTGAACAGTTGTTTTAAGAAGTAATTGAAAGTTTTTGAACTTTTAGATATGCATTTAATTGTATGTTTGATATTTGTTGCGCATGTACACAAAGAGTATTTCAAAATAAGAGTCACAAATCGACAAGAGAAAAGCATAAATAAGACATTGCTTTGAGATATTTTTACTTCTTGGCAAAGCAACATCATATCGAAAATGCTCATAAACCCAACGCATGTTTGGCAGGAAAATCTCTTTAAAAAAACCAACAACATAAGTCCGTATATAAATACATTAATTTTAAGCTCCTCATGAACAAAAGTGAAAAAGTATTTTAGTAAGTTCTCTTTTATAGCTCACTATTCAAGATGCATAATTTGGGCATTTTTGCCCTGTTGCCTTTTATGTAGTAGATCAGTAAATACATGATCTGTTGATATTAAGCATAATTATATACTGTATCAATTTATCTTGACTGATGCAGTTTTCCAGTTACAGATGTGAAACTCACTCATAAGCTTTTAATTTGATTTAAATCATAAGACAAAAGTTTTTTTTAATGCTTTTCAAAGTTAACAAACAATTAAATATTGTGCATTTTTACTTTCAGGAAGCAAAATGTCTCTGATAAACATGGAAGCAAGACCACTTGACGCTAAAATGGTAACAAGAAGATGTGTTTTAGCAAGATTAAAAGAAGTGACAGGGGCAAAGTACAGGGAATTGATAGAGCAGAAAGCAGGTGGATTACTTATACTTCTCCCTGAGAACTTGTCCACCATGTCTGCTGATACTAAACAGGTATTTCATGTTCTGTTATAACAATCCATGTTACTTTGACAAGTATAATAAAGTTGAATTCAATAAGTGTTGGGTGATGGTGTGATTTTTGTTTGTAATGAATCTTTTGTGAGGATCAGTGTTCAAATGATACTTTTTATACCCCCAAAAACGAAGTTTGGGGGGGTATATAGGAGTCACCCGGTGGTCGGTTGGTCGGTCGGTCGGTCGGTCGGTCGGTCGGTCCAGACGTCCGTTGCATTTTCCTTGTCTGGACCATAACTTGAAGACTAATGGTTGGAATTCAATATAACTACATACAATGGTCAAGCACATTGAGAGGAAGTGCAGTGCACAAGAACCATAACTCTATCTTGACTAATTACAGAGTTATTGCCCTTTGTTACTTTTCCTTGTCCGGGGAATAACTTGAAAACTACTGGTTGGAATTCAAAACAACTTCATACAATTGTCAAACACAATAAGGGGAAGTGCAGTGCACAAGAACCATAACTCTATCTAAAGTAATTACAGAGTTATTGCCCTTTGTTACTTTTCCATTGCTTTCTTTTGTCCGGACCATAACTTGAAGACTAATGGTTGGAATTCAATATAACTACATACAATGGTCAAGCACATTGAGAGGAAGTGCAGTGCACAAGAACCATAACTCTATCTTGACTAATTACAGAGTTACTGCCCTTTGTTACTTTTCCTTGTCCGGGGCATAACTTGAACACTACTGGTTGGAATTCAAAACAACTTCATACAATTGTCAAACACAATAAGGGGAAGTGCAGTGCACAAGAACCATAACTCTATCTAAAGTAATTACAGAGTTATTGCCCTTTGTTACTTTTCCATTGCTTTCTTTTGTCCAGAGTATAACTTGAAGACTAATGGTTGGAATTCAATATAACTACATACAATGGTCAAGCACATTGAGAGGATGTGCAGTGCACAAGAACCATAACTCTATCTTGACTAATTACAGAGTTATTGCCCTTTGTTACTTTTCCTTGTTCGGGGCATAACTTGAAAATTACTGGTTGGAATTCAAAACTACTTCATACAATTGTCAAACACAGAAAGGGGAAGTGCAGTGCATAAGAACCATAACTCTATCTAAAGTAATTACAGAGTTATTGCCCTTTGTTACTTTTCCATTGCTTTCTTTTGTCCGGAGTATAACTTGAAGACTAATTGTTGGAATTCATTATAACTTCATACAATGGCAAAGCACATTGAGAGGAAGTGCAGTGCACAAGAACCATAACTCCATCTTGACTAATTACAGAGTTACTGCCCTTTGTTACTTTTCCATTGCTTTTTTTTTGTCCGGAGCATAACTTGAAGACTAATGGTTGGAATTCAATATAACTTCATACAATGGTCAAGCACATTGAGAGGAAGTGCAGTGCACAAGACCCATAACTCCATCTTGACAAATTACAGAGTAATTGCCCTTTGTTACTTTTCCTTGTCCAGAGCATAACTTGAAAACTACTGTTTGGAATTCAATACAACTTCATACAGTTGTCAAGGACATTAAAAGGAAGTGCAGTGCATAAGAGCCATAACTCCATTTTGACAAAATACAGAGTTACTGCCCTTTGATACTTTTCCTTGTCTGGAGCATAACTTAAAACGTACTGGTTGAAATTCAAAACAACTTCATACAATTGTCAAGCACAAAAAGAGGAAGTGCAGTGCACAAGAACTATAACTCCATCTTCAGTATTTATAGAGTTATTGCCCTTTGTTCCTTTTCTTTGTCTTTCTGGACTTATTACAGAGTAATTCAATAAAACTTCATCAATGGCCAACCACATTGAAAGGAAATGCAATGTACAAGAACCACAACTATCTTTAATTGCTCACAACCATAACTCTATATTTCAATTTTTTTACAAGATATTCTGTTACTAGTAACATCCTCATTTCCGAAGCAGTCTTGTGGGGGTATTAATCACATTTAGTGATAGTTCTAGTTGATTTTGTATAAAAAATAAACAGAAATGGTTTCTGTTTACAAATTCAAAATGTTCATTATATTTGACGAGACTTTTCTTTAATAAAATGTATAGTAACATAGCTCTTTAAAGCCTATAACCTTTATAAATTATTAAATATTTCCATCTATTTTCAGCATCTACAGTCATTAGAACAGGAGCTACTGTCGACAGAGGATAGCAGTGTACCTGTATATTTTGCTTGGGAGACAGATAAATTACAAGAAGTTTATTATGGTGTGACAGGTGGTTCAGGAGATGATGCTGCTACTGCTGTTGAAGGTTTGATAATTATCATAATAATATGTTGATATTTGGCTGTCTTCTATTCTGTTTTGTGTCAATTAATGATTTCTGTGGGGAAAAAAACCTTTATTGCCAATTTGGGAACTAACAAAGTGCTATAGTACTGAGTTACATTTTGACGGAATTAACATTTACATTTTTAGACTTTAAAAGTCTGAAGTTTTGGTTTGGTTGCAATGTTATATCTCAGCTATTTGGTGGTAGTCTTACACTTGTCTTATTACATATGTTAGAACTTTAGATTACTAATAAAGTTGAATAGCTGTAATCCAACTGTTGTACCTTTCTAATAGATATTTGATGCAGATTGTTTCCATTTGTGAAGTGGTAGATAGTGGAGTGAAGTGTCTTGTATACAGCTCTTACTTACTTGTATATCTTTTATCAGATTTCAACTATGTTATTCAGACATAATTTAAGATTTTCTCTAAAATTCAGTTCTATAGCTTGAAAGACATGACACATGTTATATGAAATGTGTTATGAATAAACAATATCAAGTATATTTATGTATGTTTATATTACAGCATTGTTTAGTTCAGCATCAGCTAATGGTTTCCAAATGGTGATGGCAGGATCCCAAGCTAAAGCTCTCACAGACTTCCAAATCACAAATATTCAGGTTGGTCTTATAATTATAGCATCAATATTTTTTAAAAAAATTTAAAGGTCTGGTCATATTGATGAAAGCATAAATATAGGATATTGAATGAGTGTAAGTTCAATACTAAGTTTATTGAACAAGTTAAATAAAAAAATATTGTGCAAGCCACTGTCGAGCATAATATTATTTTATGCATTAAGTTCAATAAATTCAGAAGTGGACCTACATAGAAATAATACTCTATTTATCATATACCCAAAATACATGTAAAGACTGTTTAAAGTGAAAAAGAATCGGGTTTCATTGACACGCCTGTAGTGTAACCCAAACATTTGCGCATCTTTACAATATGTTCACTGCAAATGACATCACATCAAAATATATGCATGGCCTTGCAATACAGCTTTTACAGAGTCACAAAAGCGGCACAGGTGTGTGATAAAAAGATATATGATATATCTTAAAAGTTTACAGGCTTTTATCTGTTGTTCTTTTATTATTCCGAATGTTTAGTATTTATTGTTAATTTGTTATAAGGTATAATTATATTGCACTGAGAGCATTCAAAATTTTTTAAATGGATTTCAAACTAGGAAACTATTCAGCCTGCATGCCAAAGTTTGCTGATTCTACTAGGGTGTATTTGTGCCTGCAATATTGAACAAATAAATTCATTTGGTCTTTAACTAGTAAAATCTCAAATATCACCATGTGATCTTAAGAATGTTGTCGTGATTAGATATTCATTGATGAGTTATTACTAGGGATGGCAACGAGTAACCGGTTAACCGAGTACTCGATCGGACGTCCGAATATCGGTTAACAAAATTGTTATTCGATTACTCGGAAAAATACATATTTTCTATTTTTTGCGATTTAGAAAGATTGGTATATCCAATTAGTTCAGAAATTCGGAAATTAGCATGTATCTTCATAAATACCCGTTAAATGCAATCAAAACATCCTTGCAGAGGTGCGAAAATGATATCATAAATTTAACAAGGCGATCAACAGTTTGACACGCGCACCTGTGTCGCTTATGTCATCCAGCCTCTTATGATATTAATTACCTTTAATTGTGTGGCCGAAGTAACTGTTTTGAAAACAACAAAGGGCCGATTGCTATCATGAATGTAAGAATAAAGGTAACTAAAATTTAGACCATGTTAAACTTTTGTTGCCGCCGATCAGTCTATATTATTTCAAAAAGAAAAAAGATATATGAACTGTTAAAACTTGATATTGCATTAATCAAAACGTTGTAAAATATTATGTTGTTGATTTAATTATAATTAATTTGTCTACCGTGCAGTCCTATTTACTATCTACAGAATACTATGAATTTAAATAGAAAACGAAAGTAGCACGCGTGTGCTAAATAATAAGCGTGATAAACTTTGAAGATCACTGGCAATCATCCGAGTAACCGAGTACTCGATCGGAAAAATGACCGAGTACTCGAGTATTGATTTTGGTATTCGTTGCCATCCCTAGTTATTACTGTATGTATGTTTTTAAGGGTCATTTATCTGGGTATGGTATTGAGTTATTACTATAAGTATGTTTTCAGGGTCATTTATCTGGGTATATTACTGTATGTATGTTTTCAGGGTCATTTATCTGGGTATGGTATTGAGGAGCAGTTACCTACCATCGTTGTTGTGACACATTATGATGCATTTGGCATTGCTCCTGTAAGTTGTTACACTTTGTTGTATTATAATGTCTCAAAATAATAACATCATTATATCACACCGCTTAGTTATATAGAAGATATTTGTAAGTGTTGCATGTAAAATCAAAATATATTTTTAAGTGAATACCAGATGTAATATTTCACAAATATTTGAAAATATTAGAGCTGGTGTTGAAAAATGAAATATAATTTGATCTTACATACAAAAACAAACAAATTTTCTATTTGTTTCATGCTTATGGTTTTAAGGCATTGTTACTGATAATTGCCGTGTAACATGTGGTCTCATTCATGACGTCATCAAATCATGTTATCACATTGTTCTTGAAGAAAAATAATTCTGTAAACAAATATTGGTACATTTGTAAAATGATATGTACAGATATTCATGTGCTTCTCTTTATCAAGCACATTTTACACACCAGGGCGTGTATTTCTAACGATATTACCACTTATTTATGTTATATTATACTCATCCGCATTCAGATATAGTCTGGCTGCTGTGAAAATTATATGAATAATAAATAATTTAATGTACACGTGTGGTTGGTCTTATTGGAACCATATTTTCACTATGAAATTATAAGATATAATGTCACTCTGCCCAGAAAGGCATGTTATAAAAAATACAAAAATCTTTTTCTTTTTATATGCCCAATGACATGACTTTGAAATATGGTTTTGTCAGACCGTATGTCTTAATTTGAAAAGAAAAAACTGCCATGATGTAACTGTAAACAGAACAAAAAAAATAAATTAAAAATTATAGTTTACATTTTGTCTTTCAAGTCAATGGAAAAATCATCTTCAGGCTCCGTGTTCACAAAGATTTAAGGATCAGGATCAATTTGAAAAACTCTTATATTCTTCATTTTGATCCTCTTAGATTAAATATCTAATGTTAATTTGATAAAACTGGACTTGCAATAGCAAATTAATGAAATTTTAGAATAAATTTATTGTTATTTTTTTACAAGATACGCCATCATACGGGCATTTTACAGAAAATCCAAATATTGATCCTGATCCGAAAATTAATCCTTATTTTGATCCAAATATTTTTGTATTTCAATGTTTTGTTATTTGTTAATTTAATCCCAAAAAAGTTTGATTTCTTTTCAAATCAGCAATTTTTTACATTTTGAATATTTACTATTTAATTCTAGCAAAACACAATAACTTTTAAGTAACATAAAACAATGAAAATAAAATCAGGATCACTTGATCTTGATCCTGATCTTTTCTTTGTGAAAACGGGGCCTGCCTTTCACAGCAATTACTTTGCTATTTATCTTTTAAAGCATATTTTTGGTACCTCGAAATTATTTATCAGTATTAAAATGAATATATATATATGTATGTCATGTTTCAGAGTTTATCAACTGGAGCTGATTCTAATGGTAGTGGAGTTATAGCTGTCCTAGAACTGGCCAGACTCTTCTCTAAATTATACACCAACTCCAGAACACACGCCAAGTATCCTTTTTAAGGCACTTTGCCTCCGAAATGAATACATTTTTACCTTCTTTAGAATGGTCACACATGGGTTTTTGTAAAGTTTAAATAATGGTTTAAGATCATGTTAGATACTTACTACATGAAAAAAGTTGCAGTGACTGTTAAATTGTTTGTCATAAAAACAGCAAAATGTAAACAAAGTAGTGTTTTGACTTCCACACAAAATAATAAATCACTCTAAATATACTGATTGCCAAAAATTAACCGAAGCTTTAGCCTGTACTGGAGTTCTGTGAGGTCACATGGAAGAGTGATGTTTGTTTGGCTGAAACCTACAATCCTTCGGTATAGAAGTATACTCATTGAGTATATTTATTGATTGACATTCGTTTGTATTTATAAGCATCTTATGTTAAGGCTTAAAGGAACTCCACTGAGATGAAAAATCCTATAAACTTAAAATTTAAATTTCTCTCATATGTCAGGTTGGGCACATAAAACAGAAAAATATGCAAACAATAATTAAGACATATACATGTATACTCTTAACTCGGTATTATCGGCGCAACTATTACTGGCATACTTAAAGTATTTTGTCATGTGCAGTCATGCGTATGGTGAAGTTGAAAATCTTTGACCTCTTTCAATAAAAAAAGATATTTTTAGTTGGTTTTAGTTGTTTTTTTTTCTGCTTCACACAAAATATTAATTATTAAATTCATCAATGGAATTCAATTCAGACATATAAGAAACGTTATGTCGCCGATGATATTGAGTCCCATGCTACTTAAAAATAAATTGGATATCATATTTCAGTGGAGTCCCTTTAAGGAAGTTCAGTGGTTCTACTCTGGTGGCCACTAAGGCAAAAATAAATGCAAAGAGGGGCATCTGAGGGATTCCTACACTGTTAGTAACTTACAGTCACCGTAACAGTGTTAATGTTACTTCAAAAAATAACAAAAAAGTCTGATACTAAGATATTACCTTAACCATCACTCTGATACAACATTGTATTTCTGTTATCTGGAGCTGGTAAATTCAACTATTTGGGTTCAAAGAAATGGATTGAAGACACTTTAGAAAATGTTGGTAAGTGTTGATTCAATCATGGTTTGTTTTCTCATATAAAAATGTTGATATCAATACTTTTATGTTTACATGCAAACTTTTATCCGGTGAAGACATTCTTCCTGAAGAACTGTTTATTTACTGATTGAAATTACTCTTTTGATATTTTTATTTTTGGATTTGTGTTTAAGGACATTAAATAAGAAAAAATAAACAATCTTTAACCAGGTTTTCTAATGAAGACACCGAGTATTAAATTAGTGAATGTCAGTTTTAAACAAGTTTCTTCTGTTTCTTAAGTCGTCTTACATTTCTCGTATTGAATTTAATCATTTTTGTCAAAATAATTGCCCTTTATATTTCGTAAGCCAACTTAAGGAGGGGGTGGGGGGGATTTGCTCTTGTCTGTCTGTTATGCTATCTACAAAATGGAAGACGTGGGGCAAAATGTACTTTCAACTTATTTCTGATATAAATTTTAAAAATCTTGGTTATTTTATTTACGAATATTGGACAGGTATTTGCGAACACATCAATCAGGTGGTTAGCTACAGTCATAACTTTATAACATGAAATCTTGTATGTGTATAAAGTTGATTTCTTCCTGTATGTACATGATATAATCTTCAGCATCTAATGATCTTTAAACTCTAGTTAATAATGTTTAAATTTACAAGATAACAAGACTGTTCATACAATATTTCATATGCTGAAGTAACCAAAATGCTGAGGTTAAACTACGGTGTGTATTTGTTTACATGTATATTAAAGTTGTATATATTTACAGATAGTTCTCTCTTCTCGGACATAGCCTATGTATTATGTCTGGATACTATAGGCAGTGGTGATAATCTTCGTCTTCATGTCTCAAAACCTCCACGAGAAGACTCACCTGGTGGACAATTTCTTAAGGTAGTGTTATATCCTATTACAAGATATAATCCTTTAAATTTCTGCATGATTATTTAACTGACTGTTATAAATGAATTTAGATGTTTGGTATTACATAATCTATTAAATATTATACTAAATATTGCTGAAGTAAATGAGCAACACATTGGTCTATAGTCATGTCAAATAGAAAATGTGATGTCTTTCTGTAAGGTTATCTGATAGGTATTGGCATATAGTTACATACTGCCATGTTGTTATTTAGATCAGTTGGTTTGGTGGTTCATGTCTTGTTTTTTTTTCATACCATTAAATTATATAAGCCAGAGCTTTCATATTTCAAATCAATAAACCGTTTAGAGGAAACCTTCATCTTACACAACTTTTCTGTGCAGTAACAAATAAGGAATATGGGTCATTGTGTTTATTACCATGATTTATAAACATACAGGAAATGTCCAGAAGAATTTAGAATAAGTTTTAACTGGGTTTTATTTTATGATTTAAACAAGTATAAAATTGCTACTCTGTTTGATTGTCATCCAATGTTTACATGTTCACTAAATTTCAATATTTTATTTTATTACAGCATTTAGAAAAAGTCACAAATACATTTTTCCCAGATGTTGATTTTCAAATGGTTCATAAAAAGATCAATTTAGCGGAGGAATTGTTGGCATGGGAACATGAAAGATTTAGTATGAAAAGATTACCAGCATTCACACTGTCACATCTAGATACCCATAAAACACCTGATAGATCTACCGTCCTAGACACCAGGTAATTATCTCGGATAAATAAAAATAATTCCAACAAATATAAAAACATTGCAGTCCTACAAACCAGGTAATTATATCTATTAAATTCCATCAAAAATAAAAGTTCTACTGTCTTAGAAATCAGAATTATCTCTGATGTATTGAGTATCACAGGGAGAGTAACATGTACAACCTGACAGAGGCTTTAACCTGAGACCCTCTCAAAATAGTTCAACTGCTACCCACTGGGCCTCCCAGCTGCCTCTACTAAGTTTCAATGATGTCACAAGGTTATAAAATATATGAAAATAAGATGGATATGAGGATTTTCATGTGATACTAAATACTATTACATCATTTGATAAAGTTTAATACTATAATGACATTTGAAAAAGTTAATTGCTAGTATAATACCATTAGTGAATTGTTATGGCTTATGTTTCAGGGATCGTATAGATGATGAGAGTCTAACTAGAAATATTCATATCATAGCCGAAACTCTTGCAAGACATGTGTATAATCTTACATCTCAGGGAAATGTTCAACTTTTCACAGATACTTTAGTAAGTTCTTAAATTGTTTATAATAATAACATTAAAATTTATTGACAAATAAGAAGTTGATATAGCCATCTTAAATATTGAATTTTTACATTTGTATTATTCTAGACAACATTTGAGATCAAATAAAGCCATGTGGCGCGTAAAGCTGGTTTGAGCTTTAACTCTAGTCGGGTACCATAAAATAATGCTTGAAAACTCCTCATTTTGTACGCTTAGTCAAATCATGCCTGTGCCAATATAACCTTTTTAAGATTAACATTATGTACTAGCCAGGGCCTTTTCCTGCTATTTTGGGAAAAAGGCCTCTGGCATTAATTAGGTAAAATTATTTGACATTTTGGAAAATTGAAAATCTAGCTTTTAAAAATATTATTTAAATATGACTTTTTTAGAATTTTAACATGTGTATGATCATGGAACCTGTCAGTTCTGTCAAGAAACAAGTCAAAGATTCTCAAAATAGTTTTTGGGCTGCTGAATTTTTATTTGAAATTAGGGGTAAAAAAAGGGCTATTTTGGATTGAAAATTGGTTTATTCTGACATCTGGTGATTTGGTGAAAATGCCCTGCTATCACCCTCAGAGTGATCTGATATTTGTTTGTTAAGATTTTAACCCTTTACCTCATATATACGCGAAACAACGCACTTTCGACCCCCCCCCCCTTTTTTAGGCCTGAAATAGTGAAAAAATGTCCTATTTGGGCCCCAAACACATGTTTTCGTTTGAGAAATGTTGCTAAAAAAAGTGAGCACTTTTTTGGCGCCGCCCCCCATCCAAAAGATACATCAGGGGGTTGCCAGAAGGGGGATGTGCCCCCTTCTGTTTGAAGGGGGGCGGAGTCCCCCTCATGGCCAAGAAAATTTTGGACTTGTGAGAGGCTAAAAATGACCCCAGGTCGATCATAAGGTAACGTGTAACCAACGCTGAAAAGCCTTTGACTCTATCTCAATCCATTGAGAAGTTGCAGCACTTTGAAATAAATTTTGATGGAAAAAATCGAGGCAAAATAGTGATTTTTGGCAATTTTGAGATGTCCCCTCTTTGCCATGGTAACAGGAAATTTAAGTCTGAGCATGTTGTTACAAAGGCAATGGTCCAGTCAACATTTGTGCCAAGTTTGATTAGTAGTGAAGAATTTTTCATAGTTTCATAGCAGTTTGAACTTGTAAGAGGAGGCTTTTCACTGAAAACGGCCATTTTTCACAATATGCTCATGGGGGAAAGGGTTAAGTCTTAAATTTGAAAGTAAGGTCATCTTGCAATGTTAAAATAATTTTAATGTGTTTACTATAGGATGTACAGAAAGATCTTGTATCAGCGTGGATGGATCACCTAACATCCAGTCCTAGAGCCGCACAACTCCTGCCAAAAGATGCTAGTCTTCTCACAACACTAGAGGAAACTATGTCCAGATATCTTAAAGATGTTAAACGATCTACTGTCAAAACTGATAAAAGGTATGAAAAGTGCCGTGTTATAGATAGTTTTGTTGTCAAAATACACGTAAAACCTATAAACAAAGATCAAGCGTTAAGCAAATTAATTTTGAATCACTTTCTTCCAACCATAGATTATACCAAATCAGATATATTTAAATATTAAACATAAATAAATTTGTGGTTTTTCCAGAAAACTGCATTTTAACAAAATAGATCTGTCTGATTACAATCATCTGCAAGGACCTTGCTGACATTTAAAAGTTAATTAGTACACATGATAAAAAGATAAGTTTTTGTTGAAATACAATACAAACTTAATGAAATACCTGCCAATGGTATAGCATTTTCAACTGGTTATATTACCTGCCCATGGTAAGACCTCTATTGACAAAGCTTGCATTAGAGTTGAGAAATAAACAGACACTTCTGTAACTTTTGTTTTGATTTTTCATTCTTTGAATTTGTGAATTCTATCATTCTATGTTTCCTTGAATATTGTTTTCCTTTCGTAAATATATGATAAAAGTACATAATTTATCAAGTAATTTTCCAAGTTACAATGTTTATTTTGGCATACATTACAGAGATCCAGAGTTTATTTTCTATGATGGTGCGGAGTATAAGATGAGTGCATTCAGTGTAAAACCAGCAGTATTTGATCTCTTCCTAGCATTAGCAATTGGTGGTTATCTCACAGCCATATACTTTCTTGTTCAGGTATATTTACATCATTCTCAATGAGTTATTTACATTTAAAACTGTTATTGACTTGTTCCCAGTACTTTCTGTTATCTCCAGTTATTTGAAGGATTGTCCATTAGTACTTATAGTATATAAAGGAGTCTGTTATAAGGAAATATCATGGCCTTGAGCAACATTGAGGGTATTTCCCTACAGAAAATGATACAGTTTGTTACTGAGGTACCAGTTTAACATGTGGGAAATATCAGTGAAAAATCACTACATATCATGTGATAATCTGTAAATTTGTAAAATTAATTAAAAATAAAAATCCTGAAAGTAGCCTCCATGGTAGAGATAAGTTCAGGTATAGAACTTAAGTAAAATAGTCTAGTATCTGAAAATAATGCCAGAATAAATTTTGATTATTTATAAGAATTTTACTTTATATTTTCGTATTTATATACCGTAATTATTGGCTATCCATTTTCATAGAATTTTAGTTTTAATCTCATGAAAGCTAAAAAATATATATCTTTTCTCTATTTCAGAACTTCCACATTTTACTTGGAATATTTATAAAGTTCACCAAACCAGCAAAAGCCACCAAAGTTAACTAATACCAGATATCTATATACATGTTCATACAAGTGATCAAAATGTCTGTCCTGTCACTTTCAGCTTTTTTTCTACGAGTGCAAATCCCTCAGACTTCCTGTAAATATCCAATTTTAGTTGTTTCATAAATCATGTTTTTTTACATGAGATAACTTGTCACAGAAGAATGGTAATAGCAAATCCGATGGATTGTTATTGTTGCTATAGTTTACATTAAATAGACATTTGATTCAACTTTATTCTACTGGAATGACTTTTACACCAAAACTTCACATCGTTTCTGTACTTTGTTGTTGGCGCAATCAAGCAAATCGTTTCTATAACCTTTCAACTTCAGTGAGTGGTCATATACATTTAAATGCAGTGTACAAGTTTATCAAATTATGTATAGAGATTTGAGTAACTAAATGTATACAACCAAGATCATTGTAATATTACAATCACTCTGATTAGCGTCTTTTACAAAAGTTGCTTTAAATGAGGAAAACTTAAGGAAAAAGAGCAGTTATTCAAAGAATTATGGTGAATTCCTACTACATTCCTGGTGCATTTTTGTTTTTAGCTCACCTGTCACAAAGTGACAGGGTGAGCTTTTGTGATCGCTTTTCGTCCGTCCGTCCGGCGTCCGTCCGTCCGTAAACTTTTGCTTTAAATGACATCTCCTCATAAACCACTGAGCCAATTTCATCCAAACTTAACAGGAATGTTCCTTTGGTGGTCACCTTTAAAAATTGTTCAAAGAATTTAATTCCATGCAGAACTCTGGTTGCCATGGCAACCAAAAGAAAAAACTTTAAATATCTTCTTTTAAAAAACCATAAGAGCTAGAGCTTAGATATTTGGCATGAAACATCTTCTAGTGAGTGTCTACCAAGTTTGTTCAAATAAAAGCCCTGGGGTCAAAATTGGCCCCGCCCTGGGGGTCATTGATTTTCCCTATATGCATATAGTAAAAAACTTAAAAAATCTTCTTTTAAAGAACCGTAATGCCTAGAGCTTAGATATTTGGCATGAAAACATCTTCTAGTGAATGTCTGCCAAGTTTGTTCAAATAAAAGCCCTGGGGTCAAAATTGGCCCCGACCCAGGGGGTCATTGATTTTCCCTTTATGCATATAGTAAAAACTTAAAAAATCTTCTTTTAAAGAACCCAAAGAGCTAGAGCTAAGATATTAAGCATGAAACATCTTCTAGTGAGTGTCTACCAAGTTTGTTCAAATAAAAGCCCTGGGGTCAAAATTGGCCCCGCCCCAGGGGGTCATTGATTTTCCCTATATACATATAGTAAAAACTTTAAAAATCTTCTTTTAAAGAACCATAAGAGCTAGAGCTTAGATATTTGGCATGAAACATCATCTAGTGAATGTCTACCAAGTTTGTTCAAATAAAAGCCCTGGGGTCAAAATTGACCCCGCCCCAGGGGGTCATAGATTTTCCCTATGCATAAAGTAAAAACTTAAACAATTTTCTTTTAAAGAACCCAAAGAGCTAGAGCTAAGATATTAAGCATGAAACATCTTCAGTGAGTGTCTACCAAGTTTGTTCAAATTAAAGCCCTGGGGTCAAAATTGGCCCTGCCCCGGGGGTCATTGATTTTCCCTATATGCATATGGTAAAAACTTAAACAATCTTCTTTTAAAGAACCATAAGAGCTAGAGCTTAGATATTTGGCATGAAACATCTTCTAGTGAATGTCTACCAAGTTTGTTCAAATAAAAGCCCTGGGGTCAAAATTGACCCTGCCCCAGGGGGTCATAGATTTTCCCTATATGCATACAGTAAAAACTTAAAAAAATCTTCTTTTAAAGAACCATAAGAGCTAGAGCTAAGATATTTAGCATGAAACATGTTCTAATAGGTGTCTACCAAGTATGTTCAAATAAAAGTCCTGGGGTCAAAACTGGCCCCGCCCGGGGGGGGGGGTCATTGATTTTCCTTATATGTGTATAGCAAAAACTTAAAAATCTTCTTTGGAAAAACCCAAATAGCTAGAGTTTAGATATTAAGCATGAAACATCTTTAAGTAAATATCTACAAAGTTTGTTAAAATAAACGCCCGGGGGTCAAAACTGGCCCTGCCCCAGGGGTGACATTGTTTTTAACTATATGTGTATAGTAAAAACTTTAAAAATCTTCTTTTAAAAATGCCAATGAGCTAGAACTTAGATGTTTAGCATGAAACATCTTCTTATGGGTGTCTACCAAGTCTGTTCAAATAAACAAATAAAAGTCCTTGGGTAAAAATTGGCCCGGGGATGGGGGCCTATATACAGGTGAGCGACCTCAGGGCCATCATGGCCCTCTTGTTCTGTTTATGTGAAAGATATTTCCGTCACAACTGTACGTAATCAGAAAAGTGACGTTTTTTTTTTCAAGTATGTTTATAATTTTATGTAAAAAAGATAATTTAGAAAAAAAAATATGTTTATTTACTTAATATTTAGTAAAGATATGGTTTGTATATACACTGTCTATCATACACAGAGTTTTTATTTTATTTCTATCTGTCATTTTCTATAATATATAGCTTTATATCATTCATTTATTGTTTATTTATTATATCATTTCACTTGATTTCTACATTATAAATTATGTTTAGCATTGTCTTATTGATTCTTAGAAAATCATTTTTGGTAAGCAAACAAAAATTTGAATTTTTTTAGAGAAGACATATTTGGAGTGTAGAAAAGAAATAAAAAGAATGACTTGCATAAGTTAAAAAAATAGCAAATAAGTTTGTAGACATGCAGTTATTTATAAGATTGTTTAACCTGCATTATGTTTGGGGTGGGGGTATGTACATGTTTTTATTTCATTTTGGAAAAAAAAAACTATGCAAATATGATAAACAACAATATGTACTTTAAATGGTATGCTCTGTTCCCAGTGGCTTATCAGTAAAGGAAATCTGCAATGTTTACACAAGATTTTATAAGAAATTAAGAGTTTTACTTTATAATTTTAAGTTTGATTTATTGCTTTGCTAACGTCTAGTTATGAAGACCAATAGTGGTATTTTTGTGTATAATGGTCCATCACTTTACAGCTACTAGTAACAAATCAATTCTATGCCTGCCACGTCTATAAAGTCTGTGACTGGGTACGTAACTTAAAGGTCTTTGACTTCAAACCACTTGCCCCTCACTGCTGTTTGTTTGAATATAGCTGGGGAAATTGTATTCTTTCATAAAAGGAAGCTATCCAGCTAGCTTAAGGAATGTCCTGGTTCTACTCGGTGTCGGCTCATGCCTGATAAAATGCACACAGGTGCATTGCGGGTCTTCATTCACCAGTAAGGCTGGAAAAGTTTTCATTGGGCTTTTGTTTGTTTAAACACAACCAACCAAACAAAAACCTGCAACAATTCACTTGGGTGTGTCACCATTAGGTCATTTAAAACTTGTAACATGCATAGGTAACATGCGTAGGTCACCTTCAAAGTAAAACATGTGTTCACAGTTGTAAACCAAAGATAATACATGTAGTGCTATCTTGACAAGTAGCATTGTTAGAATTTAATGTTGTAATTTGGCATCTATTTCATGCAAAACAAGCAAGAAATCAGTATTGCCCTCTGTATGATATGGTATACGATTTACATTTATCTTACCTTGTAGGAGCACTGCAAGGTTTTTGTAGCCTAAAATGCTTGTTTTGTTACCTTTTATGGCACTAAAGTTGGGGACAAAATATTTTGATTGTCCGTCTGTCCACTTCTTGTATGGTCCATAACTTGTGGGTCATGACTAGAAGATAACCCCTTTTGATTTTGAAGTCAGTAGAGCAAAGGTCAAGATCACTGTGACCTTGTAAATTCCTTAGATCTGATGTGAGGGTGTTCAAACTTATTGTAAGATCATTGGTATTTAAACCAATAGGTTGAGGTCACATTGACGCATGAAATTCTTATCTGATCAATGACAAAAGTTGTAGGTTTGTGAAGCCCCTTATTGTAAAATATACATGAAAATATACATATTTCATTTTAAGAGCAAATTAATTCTGGACATAGTGTCCTGTGTACACATTTTTAATAAATAAGAGTATTAAGATTCCACATAGTGAACTAAGTTCAAGATTATACCTAGAAATTTAGTTATTCATTCAGGGATGCTTTTTTTGATAATTGTGCAAAGTATATAAGAATGTTCTTTATTCTTGTAAAACTCTATTTGCTGTAAGTTGCTGGACCCAACTTTTGAAGGCATTTGTATGTTTCCAATGACAATTCTTGTTTCACTTGTAAATATAATCACTGTGAACAAACTACATGTACATGATTTACTGGAAGAAGTACTTTACTTTTAGTACTAACAGCTTTATTTCATGTCAATCAGTTTTGCACACACTCTAGTTCAGTAGAGAGTTATTAGCTTCATTCTTTTCACTTTGAATTGGGAATTTGAGTTTCATGGAAGCTTTAAGCTTTCTGCTCAGTCCCGATTGTAATTTATATCTGCATTGTAATCTTGTAATTATTTGTATAAATTTTTAACATAGAATATTGTTAAAACCAATATACATGTACTTTGTGTTTTGAGACTAAATCTATAGATTGCGAAACAAATGTACAATTTTGTACTTTGAGTTGAGTTCTAAATCAATATAGAGATATTTGGAAGAAAATATTGCTGCAGTAGTTGGGTAAAACTGAAAACAGATTTACATTTTTTGTACCTTATCCAGTTCCTTTAACCAGGTTTTGTAATGAATAAAATATGCAATTTAAATAATTGTTTTGTCTTCTGTAATCTCCAAATACTGTAGGATGAAATGAAATAAATGAGTGAATCCATTTTAGCTTGACTACACAAAGTTTATGGCCAGCATTTAATAAAGATTTTGTGAAGTATGCTGTTTGAAAGAGATATTTGCAGTTGCTCCCGTCTGTTGGCACTAATTTGATATTGTGTGGACATTTTGTCAGCAACCTGTGATGAAATTCATAAAATGTTGATGAAACTTCCCTGAAGGAAAGTTGTCAATATAGCAGCCATATGTTTTGGCTTAGTGGGGTTTTTATGCTCCCCCGAAGGATGAGCATATGGTCGCCGCTTTGTCTGTCTGTCCGTCCGCTATTCTTGTCTGGGACATAACTTTGAAACAACAAGAGGTATAAAGATGACACTTTGTAGGTAGATAGATCTCATTGAGTAGAATAGGGGCGTTCGTGGCCCAGTTGCTTCAAACCATTGCCCCTTACCGCTGTGGGTTCGAATCCGGACAGGGACTTTGGATTCATTCATGTGAGGAAGCTATCTAGCTAGCTTACGGAACTTCGGTGGTTCTACTCGTGCCTGAAATAATGCACGGAAGGGCACCTGAGGTCTTCCTCCACCAGTAAAGCTGGAACGTCGCGATATGACCTATACTGTGTCGATGTGACGTAAAACCCTAAACAAACAAACATTGTCCTTGACATAACGCTAAAACTATAAGAGATATCAACATGAAACTTTGTAGGTATGTAGATCTCATTGTGTAGAAGTGCAGTGCTAACGAACCATAATCTGTCTTGCCTAATTTTGGAATTATTGACCTTTGTTCTTTTTTACACTTTGAACTTTGTCCGGGACATTGCTCTAAAACTATAAGAGATATCAACACGAAACTTTAAAGGTAAATATATCTCATTGGATAGAAAGTGCAATGCAAAGAACCATAACGCTGCCTTGCCTAATTTTGGAGTTATTGTTCTTTGTTCATTTTTTTTAAACTTTCCTGTGTCCAAAAACAAATCGGGGAGCATCAACCGGTTCTTGTTTAAACTTATGTCCCTTCAATGTTGATTTAACTTTCATTTTGTATTCACTTTTTCTTGACAACCGCTGTAGGATGTACTCGACAGGGAAAGCTGCTTTTTGTGCCTTTACGGGCGGATGGAGCCTCATTAAGCAAAGAATTCAGTCAGAAAAAGGGTGAGCCCTCTGAAGCATTAATCGCAACAAAATTACATGAAAATTGCAGACTTGGTTTGATTGAGTCTGTACATGAGGGATAATGAAAAAACGCAACATCCCTCACGCTCCCTAGCACTGGCGAGTGTATCAGTAAAAGTGCTGATATTAATGATCCCGAAGGACATGAAAAATAGTCTTGTTAATTTTCTTATCACTGCAAAGTAAAGACAATGATATAAGTAAGCAACCGGTAAGTAGGTGGCAAACATGTATTGTATTAACGATTTGTGACAATGTTGAGACACGTGAAGCAATGGAGGTTTGCTGTACAGATATGGTTCAGGGCTGAATGATTGGTTTATAATTCTATGTGAATTTAATTAAATGATATGAAAAAGTGTAATGGCTTTGATTAATAAGAAATACTAGATGTGACAGTTTTCCCTCTTAAATAATGAATATAACAATAATTAATGTCAACACCTACGTTTTCCGTTTGCTAAAATTATCTTTTTAATGAGAGTTTTCCATTTTCATTTATTACACTATTCTCAATGATGACTGTTAAACAACGGAAATGTATAATCACGACCCGCATCTGAATATATAGAGCATATTTTTAATACTGAATTTATTGAACAAGTTGAATAAAATTACATTTTGTGAGCCTCTGGTATTAAAGCGCAAAAGTACGTCAAGCTAACTTTTAGCGCGTCTCACTTTGCACGGGCGTGAAATACCATTTTTAAGGAATCGCAAAAGCAACGCAGGTATGTGATCAAAGAATATACATGTATAATGTTTATTTTGAAATACTTGTTATTGTTTTGGGGGGATTATTTTATATTTCTTGAGAAATACTTTTAATGAAAATGGCGCTGTCTTAAAATCTCTGTCTCCCTTAGCCCTGTAAGCTTGAATCCCGTCAATGATTTTTGATTCTTTTATGTTAGGAAGATATCCAGCTAGTTTACGGGATGTCGGTGGTTCTTCTCACGAGCCAGCTCGTGTCCTAAATAACGCGCGACGGGGCACGTGGTGAATTCCAAAATAAATGAAGCTGGAAAGTCGCTATATGACCTTTACAGTGTCGGTGTGACAAGAAAAATCCAGGCAACAAACCAAACAAATTTTAGATAAAAAAATATGTTTCTCGTACTGTTGCGATGGGTAAAATAAAAGTATGTACAGTTATTACTACATGTATCTTCGCCTTTGTCAGTAAACATTTCCTTACCTTCATGCAGATATGATTTGTGCATTTCTGGTTGCAAACTTGTGCGTCAATAATATTGAATTGCGTGGACAGTACTATGTTTTCCTGAAATAACTTTTCCTTATATCATGGTATTTTGGTATTTAGTGCAATAAAAATCAAATAAAAACGTGAACAACGTAACCTCTCGCCATTAATAAAACGTTCTTGAAAACGAACATGGCAACGCAAGGTCGTTGTTACGTTATGAATAATAGCTTCTGGTGCTACTCGGGTGATTCTCGGTGAAAATGTTGAAATGTATCAAAACCATAAGGAATGTAAATTTGTTTCTTTCGCTTATTTTGAGTAACGCCACACTTGAAAATTTACTCAATATTGACTCACAGATACAATACAAAAATACCTTTATGTACTGTCTGTACATATTACTTGGTTTTTTTGGGTTTTTTTGCCGTCTTTTGAAGAAGAGAAAATTGAAAATAAAAATTAAAAACGGGCAAAATTTGCTGTTATTTCCTTTTTGATCAATTGTTCATTTGCATATGAGTAATATCCTTGACGGATATTATTTAATTGAAATGCACTGATCTTGAAAGAAATAACCTTCATTTCAAATTACATGTATATCTACTTTTCTTGAATATTGTAAAACGTGTCTTTCGATTCAAATCCAATGAATTTAAGTGATACAAAGTGTACTCGGAAATTTTCTTTAAATTCCCACCAAAATCTTAAAATTTTAATGACTTCCACTAGAAGTTTAAAAATATATGACTAATAAATATGACTTTTATATTTGACTTAAACATAATAAAAGTAAGTTTGCAACCAAGAATGCTTAAGTAGTTAAAATACAAGTCTGCAACTAAACTGCGCTTGAACAAGATATTTTTGTGTATTGAAACTATTTGGAACTATCAAATTAAAATTACAAAATTACACAGTATTGACAGAAATATATTTTGTTTTGTTTGATAAACTTCAAAACAAACTTACAGATGTGAATAAATGCATTAAAAAACAAAACAAAAAAAAAAAACGACCGCAATTGTCACTTGTCAAATCTCAAAATATGACCGTTTTATATCTTTGAACAATAACCTAGTCAACTCAGAAGCTAGGAAGCTGAAACTTTACACCGAGTGTGCCATAAACATTGGTTTAATGAATGGGCATAATAAAAAGATCCAAATAACATACCAACCCACTTACCTGGAGAAAATACGGGTGTCTTTAATATTCATGACTTGGTTGCCATTTTGTCATGTTAACAACCGTTTTGCTCACTTGAACCAAGTGTGCAACCACTTCACGTCATGTCCCTTGGCCAGGAAAGCCTCTCTTGATATCACTTCCGACCTCATCAATCCGGTCATTAAGTAACCAGTAACATTGTCTGATCGGAAACATTCAACAATTTGTTTTAGTACTATTGCAATTAAACTTTCTTTTACTTCCTCTGAGCTTTCTGAATCAGCTTTTGAAAGCACGACAACAGCTAGAAGCTGCACCTTATAGATATTATAACAACGAGTAAACTACTCTTCAAAATGATATGAGGTTAGAACAGTTAATATGATGATGAACATTAAGAAAATAATGATAGCATATTGTCGGTGTTTTTCAGAATTATGTCTACAATTATGTCTACAAAAGATAAAACAAAAATTTGAAATTATCAAAATAGAACTATGTGAAAAGACGTCATGACCCTTAAAGTGAATTGGTCTATATAAGTAGTATATGCGCCGGTTTACCCCCAAGACTGCGCATGCGCGGCGCCATATTGGATTCTATTTTTAGAATGACATCATCGTTCTATTTTAAGAATGTGATCATCCGTCTATTTTTAGAATGACATTATCGTTCTATTTTTAATCTCCCGGAAGTATACGGAGCTGACTCGTATACACGATCTTAGGGCTTGAATCGCGGACATTGAGGGTCAGGTCCTCGGCCCTAGACGGAGAGATAATTACCATCATGAAAGATAAAAGAAATGTTTGTAAATAGATACGTGCTTAATTTATAAATAAAAAAACAAATAGTTTTTTTTTAATATGTTCAAAATAAATAATATTTATAAAATATAACTCGTTTACTTACCTACATTTAGTAAGGAAATGACTGTCATAGCGTAACGTTCTTGTAGACTGCGCATGATCTATTTTTAGTCGCGGTATTTCACAACCACCAGGAGCTATTTCATCAGCCCCACGCGGGTGTCAATGAAAGAAAAAGGCATTAAGTACAGTCGCCGCTCAGTCTAGATTCACAATACCTAGCGGAACTATTTTGAACAAAAACCCTTTATCCTTCGTTACTAAATATAACTTTTCATTTAATCACAAAAGAATCTATTATCCTTTTAAACGCAGCGACCGTCAAGTACAGTCGCCACTTAGTCTAGATTTACAATACCTAGCGGAACTATGTTGAACAAAAACCCTTTATCCTTCGTTACTAAATATAGCTTTTCATTAATCTTATCCTTTTAAATGCAGCGACCATTAAGTAAAAACTCATTAACGAGAAATTGCTACGCATGCATTAACATATTTTAACACTTCATATATTGTACCGTTCCTTTTAAGTGCATGCTACGGTAAACTGA